GGCGTTTAGGTGGATAGATGACACGAGTCCTTTTGGGTTGATCAAAAACGAGAAGCGCCACTCGTTCTGAACCATTAGTAGGGGTTTCACCGCACAAGCTGGAATAATAACCATGGCCTGGACCAGAAGCTGACGAGAGACGGCAGCGACATGGTCGTAAAAGGACAGCTGGTCATCAGTCATGAGCTGGTTGCCCTTTCTCGTCTATCAGGACTTCAGGACCTTACGTTAAGGATTTTTGTCATCAATAAATTACACCATGGAGGTTTGTGAACATCATTTGAACTGTCGGCCTCTGGCAGCTTCTACTTTGCATTTTCCACCGTGTTTAATCCACTAACTCAGATTGAGAAGTAAATCGACAGACTGAAAAGACGGTGGAAGAAGAGAACGGCATTTATCCTCTTCATAGAGGGGTGGGTGTCAGAAAGCAACGAGGCTGATGGGAAATGTGTTCCTAATCTAGAGGAACATAAACAGCCAACCTAGTGCTGGGCGATATGGCCAAAATGTTATCATGATAAAAACATTTCATATCATTCGATATCGATAATGATCACGATAAAGGTAAAATCGTTATTTCCTTTGAGTTTAAAGGCAGATTTTTTTCTCCTGACTGAAAGTTGAAGAAACCAGACGGTTAATTATGTGGTTAAACTTTTCTTTATGGTCAGAATGGGACAAACACTTGATGCCAAACAGTGGATCACTTCACACATCTGAGGTCGAACATTCAAAACTATTATGATAAAATTTCTTTAGCAAATCTGATTAGTAGATCAAAATAAATATTTTAATGGAAAAATTAAGTGCCAATTTGTTTGTGATCCAAATGAATTAAACCAAATATTTATTGACGATATATTGAACATTTATTATATTGATATTGAGGAAAAATATATTGGGATAATTATCATTATTGTTTTATTGCCCAGCCCTGAGCCAACCTGTGCAGCTGTGTACATCCCATCCGTCCCATTTTAAGTTGCTTTCTACAGTTTTTTTCTGGATCTAACGAAGTAGCTAGCTAGCTATGTAAGAAGAAGACATGGCTACTTTATCCCGCCCACAAAGCTCTGATTGGACTGCTGGAAATAGCCGTTAGCGAACACAACACTAGACGTATTTGAATTGCTAAACAAGTTGGATACATGCGGTCTGGGACCAGGGGTAAAGCATCAGCGATGATTCAACAGTTGAAAATGTTTATTTAAAATTAAACCAAGCTGCACGACACTCCTTTACAAGCAAATGACAGTTTTTATTGTAATGTTCAAAGCCTCCAAAGCCCAAAATATTGCATTTGTGTGACAAAAGGGAACCACCAAACATGAGTCAGACTTTAATATTGTGATTTTCTTTTCTTTCCGCAGCAGCCTAATCTGCACTGTATCTGTGGGCTCTGTACACAGGCTCTGTTAGCAGGGTGCTTTGGGACACTGAAGGCATTTTGAAAAGTGTGAAGTCCCATCTGTGCCCTCCAGGCAGCCGACAACCCACCGACTCCGCTGTGTTTTACTGTCACTCTGAAGCCTCATTACAGATCCAGAGGGAACAAAAAAAAAAAGGTTAACCACGGTTGGGTAGAACAGTTTCAGTCTTACTGCATGATTTTCTTCCTCTTTTCTCCTCCTGGTCGATTTCGATGGTCATTCTGACGGATCAAGCGAGACAGAAGAAAGAGTGGAGCAGGAGCTTCAAGCTGTGGAGTTAATTTATCTGTGTGTGTGTGTTAATGAGGAACACCCCCGCTATCTCACACACATAAAGCCAAAGGAGGGATGGAGATCATCTAAAGGACAGCAGTGCTGAGAATAGCTCCCTGATTATTAAACAAGCGCCCCCTCTTTCTTTCTTTTTCTGCTCATCTCCGCCTCCTTTCTTTCATCTCCATTTATCCTCGTGCTCGCTGCCTCTCCGTCATCCTCAGCTCGCTCGACGCCTCTTCCTTTATTCTTTGCTTACTTCTTCTTGTCCTGTTTCTCTCATCTTCAACTCCCGCCGCCCTGTTTGTTTGATTGTTTGTTTGCCTGAGGTGAGAGCAGATCGTAAAGCCCTTTGAGACAAATGTGTGAGTTTCTGCTACATAGATAACTTGACTGGACTGAATCCTTCTGAATCTGTCAGTTTTGCCATGTCGAGATATGCAGCAGTCCTATTTCTCACCACTAAGGTTCATTTTAAACTCCAGAAAAGCTGTGTTTCCCCCCCCAGATTATGGCTGGTGTGCCGCTGTGTGTTGCATTTCCTGATGGTAACGGACACTTTTAGTCTGAAAGGAAATCTCTCATCAGCTACAGGATGAATTAAAAACTGCATTTGGTTCAGGCAGCCATGAGGACACCTCTAAAACTAGAGGCTGAATCACCGTCGACCTCGGCTGTACTTTGAGTTTAATGCTAACAAAGCATGCTTAGATGGTACGTTGCCTACAGTTAGCATGTTACAGTGACATATAGTGTATAATCTGTTGCACAAGCTTTACAATACAACAGTTGGACATCCTCCTGTTTAAAGACACGGTTTGTAAATGACCTCAAACATTGTATTTATATATATATATACATTTCATGTATTCCTCTTCAGCCAACACGATGCTGCAATATCTGTGATAAGCTCGTATCCACCAAATATTAGCCCAGCTAATTTATCAGTCAGGCTCTTGTTAGAGTACTTGTCTAGTAGATTTTTAATATGCAAGTAAACATGGAGGCATATTATCATGGTAGCCAAGGATTGAAGGAAGGAATACGTCTGACCATTTTCTGTGAGCACTCAAGATCAAGTTCAGAGCTGCAAAGTGACTCTAGGTTTTCATTTAATGATCTCATTGTTGTCCGTTTTACTGTGGAAAGTCAGGGGGCTCCAGGATTATTGTGCAGCGCTGTAGCTTTATGTTGTCAGTTGTTGGACGTCTCTAAATGCTGCAGTACACATGATCCTCAGAGGCGCAAACCAAAACGTTTCGTGGTTGGAATTTGGAACAAAACACGTCGCCATTTTTACTGAATAAATCCAAAACCTTCGTCCAAAGTCAGAAAGTGAACAGATTTAATCTTCTGAATGTTTCATTGGGTTTCTAACAACTTTAATCTTTGGTTGATTCTGCCTTCTCTCCACAAGCTTGTAACTTTTGACTTTCTAACATGACGATTCAATCAGAACGAGACTTTTACTTTCAGAACCAGGACACCCAAAATCAGTGCGATGTTCATTATCCAGTACTATAGTGTTCCTCAACTTTACTGCTTCACCCCCACAATAACAAAGCTACACAAATAGTATTTTGTTTTTTTCTCCTAATCACTACAAGCGGAGATCTAGCAGTAGCATGTGATAATCAGAGGACCTTAACAAACTCACTCCTCTGGAGCATCGTCATTAGCAGAACAATTTGTTGCAGGCGTCCCTGCGATGTATTATTATATGACCCTGGCTGGCTGGTTACAGCTCTCCACACTGTACAACAAGAAACAGACGGCATGTTTAGCTTTACGACACTAATTAAGACGTCCCTTCAGAGATTACGCAGCTTGTTCACATTAGCTGTCAACTAAAATGAATCCGAGCGTGGTTGATCGCACCGTTTTATTAGCCTTCTCTAATGTGAGTGACCCGTTGTTGTTGTATTGATTTGTTTTTTCTTTATCTTTACGTTGATGCATGAAACTGTGCATAAAGTCGTTCGTTTGATTATGCAACACCGAGGCAGAGAATGAGTCCATATTCATAAAAGAGGGCTTCATGTGCAATTAAGCTTCTCATAAGGAATGAAGCACACTTACTGATGCTGAATGGATTAATGGGAAAGTTCAGAGACATGCATGAAGCCTATTCTCAACCATCACCATCCCACCTAATCAATAAAGTGTGTGTGTGTGTGTGTGTGTGTGTGTGTTCCCTGTGGACTGATTGACTTCGGCATCAAACAGCAGCTCCAGTTAACGATAGAGCAGAAACAGAACAGCAGAAAAGGGAACAAGGCTTTTTTATGTTTGTTTGTGTGTTTCCACAGTGACCGGGATGCACTTTATCAAAATGAAACACGCACTGATCCAGGCACAAATGCATTCACAGTCCTATTGTGCAACATGTGCATGGACACACAAGCTCTAATAAAAAGCACCTGGTGACTAAAGCTAGCAGCTAAAAATCAAAGTGAAAAATGCCGCCTGTTACGACGGCGATGAGTAATGAGCTTCAGTCCCTCCTGATATTTCATCTTAGCATCTCGTACTTTTAAATTACTCTAATTCATTCATTCCTAATTTTTCTTTTTATCTATTATACATTTGTTATGGCCTTTGTGGCCTTAGTAGAGAGGTGTCAGTAGAGGTGGACAGTAAACACAGGAAAAGAACAAGGGGGTAGACGTGCAACAAAAGTCTCGAACCTGTTTCCAGCTTCTGATGTTTTGAGTAGATCTATTTTGCTTCCTTATGTAAGTAATTGGCACTTTCTTCTCTGACAAATGCAAAAACATCAGTATTATCCTTTCACACATGTGAGGACAAAGAACATTATACGGTCCCACATCTCAGTGTCTGCATGAAGCAAATTAACTCACAGTTCTCTTTCAGCTCATTTTCCTGAGAGGGATGTTCGGTGCTTTGAGAGGGTTGCAGGAGAAGGCAGCAGGTTTGTTTTCCAGGCGTAATTAGGTCAGGTTCGTTTTGTGATTGGATGAAAACGCGATGAATGAAAACACGCCGGAGTGAGTTGTTGGCGCGCTTTTTCCCCCCACTGTGCTCGTCTCTTTGTCCCTTGTCTAATTTGCAGCAGGAAACTCTACCAGATGAAATCCAACGAGACCAATGAATAAATTGTAGAACGGCAGCCTGTGAGCCATGTAGCATTTGCTTAATTGACGGCTGCTCATCCTGTTGTTTTCACCTTTCTCTGGACCTTTGACACAAACAAATTAAATGGTTAAAACTTTGACACCTCTGTACTGTACACTGTTTGTTTACATCCTGTCTTCTCTTTGTCTCTGTCTGCAGCTCGCTACGTGGGACTCGGTTCACGGACTGAACGGCAGTCTGAAGGAGAGTCGAATAGAGAATGGCATGCAGGGCGTGACGGTCAAAGTGGTCACTTTACTGGTAGGTGACGACACAACAAAAGTAGATATTATACCATATTTAACCACGTTTTAAACATTTAGCTACCAAAACAACCAATAATATACTACACTATGTTCTGAAATTTATCACCTGAAATTAACTTGATTCTGAGCTGCAGCGTCTGTGATGCAGAGACGGGAACTTTGCAACATGCAAAGATGAGATAAGAGAAGCTACAATTAATTAAAATTTTTGTGCTCAAGATAATCGCTGTACACAATGAAGGAACCAGCAAGTCCTCCAACCTAAACAACAAACAGAGGTCGTTTGTCCATGCCTCCCAAAACAACACACATAAGAGTTAACTATGTAGCGTATAAAAAATGTTGAGAATGAGTTGAGAAGCTCCGCAACGGCCGCCGGGGGAAGCTAACGAGTGTGCCTGCCAATCACGCCCTCTGGTCTTACGGTAACACAGACCACTGCAGCCAACGCAGCACCAGACTCCACAGCTGGAAGATACACTGAACAAAATTATAAACGCAACCCTTTTGTTTTTGCCCCCATTCATCATGAGCTGAACTCAAAGATCTAAGACTTTCTCTACGTACACAAAAGGCCTATTTCTCTCAAATCTGTCAAAATCTGTTAGTGAGCACTTCTCCTTTGCCGAGATAATCCATCCACCTCACAGGTGTGGCATATCAAGATTCTGATCAGACAGCATGGGGATTGAACAGGTGTGCCTTAGGCTGGCCACAATAAAAGGCCTTAGGCTGGCCACAATAAAAGGCCTAAGGCTGGCCACAATAAAAGGCCTAAGGCTGGCCACAATAAAAGGCCTAAGGCTGGCCACAATAAAAGGTCACTTGAAAATATAGTCATTTCCGGTTAGTGCACAACAGCATTGTTTGATTTGAGAAAACAGTATTGTGTCAAAATTAACGCACTAAGCAAGTAAGTACATAGTGTACGCAGTGTACTGCATGTTAGTATACTCAAGGAAGTACCTGAATTGAGACAGTTCTCCTGTGTGAAAGTTTAGGGTTTGAGTCATCCACCTGCTTACACGCTCTATCTGCCTATAATACATCACCTGACTTCCTCCTTTGCTACGGCCAGTCTCGAAAGAACGTTTACATAGAACAAATATACTACACTACTATCCTGCACATACAGTAGATGTAAAATTAAATATTCATACATACTAACCGCCCGGGCTTTTATTTGCTTCAATGACTGAACTCACCCAGCCTATATTTGGGACAGGCCTTTAATTCCTTTCGCATAAAACTCTTGCTCAACAAAGGAAAATAGCGTGCTATTACATTAATTATTTAAACCAGTATAAATATTATGTGTACAAAAATATGTTGTTTTTTTTGTCTGGCTTTTTTTTACCATACTGGAGAGTCTGAATTGTTTCCGTAATTGAATTGTGGAGAATCTAACCAATCTCACGATGTGTAGCATGTCCGTACATTTCTATTTTTTTATGTGCGATCTAAGCAGCTTAGAACCAGCTCAATCAGGTGACCCGGCGGGCTTTAAGAGGTTTTATACATCCAAAGAACTTCTACAAAAACCAGACCAGGCCAGTGAAAGGGACAGGCGTCTAACTGGTACTGAAGTTTAACCGTATGTTTGTAATGAAATGAAGTTTGAAATGAAGGAAGGTGCGAAGCTTTAGTGAAAGTTATTATCCCCGGGGGGCAAGTCGGTTCACAGCCAGCAGTAACAAACAGATATCAGACAACAACACATGAACACATCAACAAATATGACACAAATTATATTATATATATATAAGGATTAATGACCATTAGCCAATAACCTTCAATGTAATGTCGACTGAAAAGTACATGAGAACGGCTGAAAGTAGAGCCAAGTCTGACGAGCTGAGGTTAACATGTCCTACAATGGCCACCGTACAGATAAACCTGTCCCTTCCAGATACGATCAGTCAGGTCAGTAATCCCCCACTAATACCTGAGAAAAGCTACTTGCACTTTTAACACCAAACTGAAAGTTGCTGCATGCATGTGTCTAAAATGTTTGCGTGTCACCGTCAGTGGAAGGAATTATCAGCTCTGTGATATTTGCTTCACTCTGAAATAATTATATTATTTTCAGTTCTTTAAGCACATGTTTAGTTCTTGGAATGACAGAAATTATCCAACACTCCACGGCACAAAACACACTTCAATGAATCCGCAGGAAAAATCCCTCAGTCAATAAAGTAAATCTACTTTGTGCAGCTCAGTGTGTTTCTGTGACTTTGTATTATTTGTGGTGATTCGTCTCTTGCTCGGGTTCCTCCACCAAAAAGTTTCCCCAAAACAGTTTTTTTTTGTTGAGAGGGCATCGATCCAGCACCTCGGCTTAAGCAGCGCCTCCGGTCAGCGCGATTAGTTTAAGAGATACAAACAGCCGAGCGTTTTTCGCCCCTGATCCCACAACAGCAGCAGGGTCTGCCAGAGCTTCCTCCTGTGCTGGCGCAGCACGGTGGAGACGCAGCTCTAACCAAGCAAGACTAATACCTTCACCCTGTGGTTGATCCCCTGCAGCTGCAACACTTCCAGCTCCGAGTGCTGCCAGCTCCAACACTGACACAGCACTCCCACAGATACACTCTACCTGCTTTCTCCACAGAAACTTTCTCATCAGTAAACCTGCTGATATGTGTTGGAGGATCTTTAGTGATCATTGTTTTCTTTCAGTTTTCAAAAAAATCAGCTGGGTACACTGGTTTTGAATAGCTACGTTTTCAGTTAGGCAGTGAAGCAGATGTTGGTTACTTTGACTTATATCCTCCTTTGCGTCTGAAAACAGGTTTACAAAGTTGACTTTTTCTGTACAAAATAAAAAAAAATAAACATCCTACAATTTATTTCTTTGTTATGAATGTTAAAATACAGGTGAAAGTTCATTTTACAACCTAGAGACCCCATATAAAGCCGACGAAATCAGCAAAAGTAAAGCATTTCAAGAGTTTTAACTTGAATTTAAAATGAATTTATAAATAAAATTACAGTTAAAATGAACCCTGAGTGGACTAAGAACTCTAAATTTACTGCAAAGTTAACATGGACCAGCAACATCACCGCTGCACGATGGCTGCTCTTTATAATAAACACGTGACAGGATGGCGAGCTGGAGGACTGGAGGTGGTCTGGATACAATCAGCTGCTGCAAGGTGGTTTGCATAGGACGACAAAGTCCATAACTGATCAGCAACACATAAATCTTTATGTTTAGTAGTGCAAAAGTAGTAATGCAGGTTTTGGTCAGAACGACGTCACATTAATTTACGCTGTTGACAATTATCAGTAATTTCCTTAACTGTTAACACACAGAATGATTTAAAACGCAGACCTGATATAAAACATATTAAATGAACATAGAAATTTTATACCACTAAGAATATATGGATTATGAAAACAGTGCGTTAAACTGATTCTCAATCTAACTCATGATAAATTCACTTATATTAGGGATGATCTGTATCAGTTCTTGGGGTGGGCGTGGTTTAACCCAGATGTGGGCGGGACTAACCAGAAGTTATTTAAGCCTGAAATTGATAAGCGTTGATCCCAAGTTGCTGTATTTCTTAGAAAACTGTTCACAGAGCAGCCTCACTGAGCTTCAGAGCAACATTTTTGGTAACGGATACTCGTTTCAGCCGAGTACTCGCTTGATTTGATGAACAAGGTAGTTTATCATTATACAACACAAGTTACTATAAAGAAATACAGATAATTAATTTAAATATGGTAACATTCTGCAGTGCATTTAAGCTTATGATGTATAATTGCCTTGTGGATCAATGTTTGTATGAACAACTGGAATGTGCATTCTTAAAACAATATGAATTGCCCTTGAAGCACACGTGTCTGCACATAATGTCATGCACTCATAGTTTTCTGCTGATGGGAGTTTTAGTATTTGCAGTAAAGTGTCCGACACCCCGGCCTCTCTCTCTCTCTCTCTCTCTCTCTCTCTGCAGGAGGATCCTTTTGTCATGGTGGCAGAGAACATTCTCGGGCAGCCGAAGAGATATAAAGGCTTCTCCATCGACGTCCTGGACGCCCTCGCCAAAATCCTGGGCTTCAAATACGAGATCTACCAGGTGGGGCTGAGTGACGCAGGTTTATTTTCAGCTGGTTTATGACAGCTTCAGAGCAAACAAGAATATCTTCCGCAGTAGTTGTTGCTCCTGTCGGTCAAATGTTGCAGGCTTTGTGAAGCTGCTTTCTCTTTTATTGACGACCTTAATCCAAAGCCATGGGAATTTCTGTTGTCTGTTATGTCTATGAAGATTCTCAGTCATCCAGGTCATAGTTATCCAACGAAGGTTAAAATCAAGGGCAACTGGAATCTTCAACCAAGTCCAGTTGCCCTTGATTTTAACCTTCGTTGGATGGTTGTCTGTTATGTTTGTCGAATCACAGCTCAGCATGTTTCTGAACTACCCAGCGAGTGATTTCTAGCTATGTTAAATGGCTTCAGTGAACCATCATCTATCTGCACCGCTTGCATGTTTTCCAAAAATGCAAATGAAAACAGAAGGATACCCCTGTGGTCACAGTGTTACACCTGCTTATTTAAACTTTGTTAATCTTTCCTCCAGGTGGCAGACAGTAAATATGGATCTCAGCTTCCTAACGGTTCATGGAACGGCATGATCGGTGATCTCATCAACAAGGTAAAACTCAAATAAACTTCCAGTAAAAACAGAACGTCTGGTGGGCGAGTTAAAGGATCGTAGCGCTCACTAGAAACTGTCTCTTTAAGCTACAACACTTCATATTTTGCTCAGTCTCTCAGTATGGTTTAAGAGCAACACAAATCAAAACAGAAATTGTTGTTGTAGACTGGCTGACATTTCATACCCACCTGTCTGCCTCTGCTTCCTCTCCCACCTCCTCCTCCAGAGAGCCGACTTGGCGGTGTCAGCCATCACCATCACGCCAGAGAGGGAGAACGTGGTGGACTTCAGCAAGCGCTACCTGGACTACAGCGTCGGCATCCTGCTGCGGAAACCCGAAGAAAAGATCAACATCTTCTCTCTGTTTGCGCCGTTCGACCTGGCCGTCTGGGCCTGCATCGCGGCGGCGATCCCCGTGGTGGGAGTGCTCATCTTCTTGCTCAACCGGCTGCAGGCGCTTCGCTCCTCCTCTACCCAGAATGCACCGCCGGGCCAGCCCTCCAATGGCGTGGGGTCGGGCACTCTGCACAGCGCCATCTGGATTGTTTACGGAGCGTTCGTAAATCAAGGTGAGAGACGGTAGATGGAGGAAACGCGCAGTAAGAGCGTGACAGGGCTGATTAAAGACATCTGGCCTGTAGGAGGCTGAGGCTGTATTCAGAACCGCCTACTGGGACACAGTACGCGATACAGACTGGAGAATTTATCTGAATCCGTGCAACAACACAAGTTTTTTTGGCACACCGCAGATTTAACTTTTGTTTTCTACTACATTTAGGCCAAATCAGTACTTACAGAGTGTAGCAGGCGGTGTTGAATACAGCCTCAGCCTGTACTGAAGCTACAGGTTCCATCCAGATGTAATAAATAGATTTAGTAAAACACTGAAACTCCAACCCGCTTTGGAGTCACATGGAAGTCACACGTTAGTTCGTTCACCGGCGTATAAAATGACAAAATTATGCTTCAAAACCAACAATGTTTAATTTGAATCTGCAATCTGCGGATTTGCTCGAGGGGCAAAATAAATCTTTGCATCTTCAGTGACTTTAGTTAATCTGCACAGCTGACCAAAAGCAAACAAGCGTCTTCACAGTGCTGTCGTTTAACGGCTGTCATGTTGACACAGGAGACTGGACGACATTATCCATGAGCCACAGCAGCTTTACCTTTGGAGGGTCGTGTTTCTGTCCTGTTGTGTTAGCTGGGTCAGAGACCTACTGTGCTCTTTATGAAGCCACCAAAACTACCAAATCTGGTGGTGAGTGGAGCAGTGGATAACACGCGTGCCTCTGGTGTGAGAGACCCGGGTTCAATCCCCCACTGTGACACGTCCACCAAAGTGTCCCTGAGCAAGACACTTAACCCCTCGTTGCTCCAGAGGCGTGCGACCTCTGACATGTATAGCAATCGTAGGTCGCTTTGGATAAAAGCTTCAGATAGATGAGTAAAAAGCCCTGTGTGGTCACGAAGCATCTAGCACCAGCTATTATGTGAGACATCAGATGGAGAGCCTGGACTGTAACTGCAGGCTCGTAGGTTTGATCCCAGCAGTAACAAATGTGTTAATCATTAGAAAAAGACTGAAACTGTCCCTTCTTGCTAATGGAAGTCTGTCCTTGTCAGGAAAACACAACAGTCATGAAGAATATTATAGAAAACTGTCCAAACATGTCGAGCAGCAATGGGTTCAACCACCAATTAATCCAGATGTGGCTTTTTTCATCCTTCATTCGCATGTTGCTCTTAAATTGCAGCCTAAATGGGAGACGGCCTAAAATGATGATATGATTTGAGGCAGTCACACATAACTGATTTAATAGTTACTCCATTGTTCGTGATGAGCTTCCGTGTGACTATTAAGACTGAAACTATGGATCAATTGACTCTGCAAACGTTTAATTTGCTTTACTGAATATTGCCTTGTCATTCATGAGATGGACACTAAAACAACCCCAAGTGAACACTGATGTTGCTCTGTGTCTGCTGGATGTGTAAATAGGCAAATGTGACCGAGAAAAAGTCGATTATTGAAGCTCCACGTTTCCTGATTGAACTCCAGGAACCTTTCCGGTACCTGCAGCCATGGGTCTCATTACGCAGCTGGGACGCTGAGCTGGTTTTCTGGGATCACTCTGGATACAAACATCAGCTGAAAGCCAAGTGGAAAAACTGCGTGACTCTGTTTCAAACATTCTCACAGTTTAGCAGCTCAGCTGTTTGGCTGAAATCAATCATGGCTGATCACAGCGAAAAGGAAGATTATCTGCTGTGTAAAGACGGATTTCAGTTTGATTTTTGGGGGATTTTTAATTTAGAGCTGTTACGCGGATTACACGGCAACAGAAGAGGGAAACAATAATCACAGGAGGATTTGTAAAGCAGATACAAGGCCATAAAACTTTGAAGTGCTTAAATGAATTAGGGGGGAGGCTGAGAGCTCCAGGAAATATCACTGTACTGAGCGGAGGTTTCTGTGTCTGTGATCAGCTATTTACAGCATGTGCTCGTCACTCTCAATAATCTAAAGTGTAACGAGATCATTGGAGCCTTGAACATCAACACTTTTACAACACACTATTATAAGCTACAAGGTTGTATAACGAAAAGAAAGTTTGTAGTTCCTCCACGCTGCACACACAGACAATAACCGATTATCAAATGTGTATTTAAATATGGTAAAATTTAGAAAATAAAATAGTTTTCAGTCACGTGACATGCGCAGAGACCTGGAGGGCAAAACAACAGACCAACAATAGAGCATTCATTTTATTTGGATCACCTTTCAACTGAAGAAAAAGAAAGATATGAACACAAACTGTCAGGTATATCCGGTACAGATAACTTTAGTCCTGTGTCGGATTTCTCCAGAGTCGCTTCCTCCACCTCTAACTGGACTCCGGCTGATAAATATTACATTTTCTAATAACACCCTTCAGTTATTCAAAAATAAACATCCAAAATGTCTTTTTCAGAAATGTGCTCATTGTTTTTAAATGTCTTAATTTAACGATCATCACTAATTGAGAATGTCCTCACTGTGGGATGTTCCGTTCTCAATCTACCTGTGCTTTTGGTGACAGGAATGTTTTTATCAATATTTAAATGTTATGTTATTTGGAACGTGGTTGTATGATAAAGATAATAAAAGTCAACATTTAAACAGTAAATATGGCCAAAACATGGACATTCGCCTGGTATATTTTGAAAATATTGTATGATAACTGTTGTATATCAGTTTCTTTTCATCAACTTTACAGTTACAGTTGTATTCCAGGTGTATCAGAAGATATTCAGGTGCATTATAATCTACCTTATGATGGTTTTGATGGATTATTGCATTAAAATATAGCTTTTTTTTACCAGGTGAGGATGAAAATGTCATATTTTCACCTGTATTTCATCTCCATGTAGTCTGTAATGGTAAAATAAATTTAGGATTTATAATCCTTAGCTTCTGACCTTTCAAAGGAGACCAGAATTATGCATCTAGGCCTGATGATTGAGGAGATATTACTGATTTATTTCATCCCTTTCCAAAATGTCTTCCTTTGCTTTTAAACAAATGTCTTCACTTCCCAAAGAAATCCTCAAATGTTCGAGTTTGGCCAGGACATATACAGTCCAGGAAACACGAGGGACAGGGCTGGAACTCCCGACAAAACACACTGACGAACAAGCAAAGACAGAAGGGAACAGCAAGACCATATATACTAGTGAGGACAAGATAATGAGACACAGGTGAAGTCAATCAGGGAGAAGCAAACAATCACACAAGAGGGAAGTGAAATGAGATGAGATCCTTGCTCCTTTGAATATCTACACGTTTTCACAAGCCTTTCAAACGCGTCCTCCTGCAGGACCGTGCTCAGTCATCGGCAGATGGGCGGAGACGTCTCTTGAAAAATCGTGGACGACGAGTTTGACTGATTTCCTCACTTATCACAAAATGTCCTTGTTGTCTTTAAACATCATCACTTCTCAAAAATGTCTTCCTTGCTTTTCAGAAATGTCCTTTCTGAGTTGTGTTTCCACGACCGTCCTCAACCTCCAGGTCTAAAACTGTAATCTGTCCTCGCAAAGACAGAAGTACACAAACACACACACCTTCCCAGCAGAGACATCCAGCTGCATCTATTATGGTCTGGCAGGATGCCTGGGAAACCTTTTAGGCCTAACGGGTTGTGATTAGATGCGGCCGTGCAGCCTCTCCGCTCGCTGCGACGGGGCACCGCTCTCACCTGCTGTTTAAACCACGCGGCAGGTGGATTCCTGGTCACCGAGAGGAACCTGGACCTGAGAGGTCACAGGTCTGATCCCCGCAGCAGGTGTCCATTAACACCTGTGTGATCTGAAACTGGATGCTCAACACGCACCGGCTCTGAAAACAGTTAGAAAACACAGGTAAACCCCTGCGTTGGAGAGTTTGAGTAATGACCGGGGTGTAGCAGTCATCTGTTTGTGTGTGTGCAGGTGGGGATGGTGCGATCGGCTCGGTGGCTCTGAGGATCGTCATGGGCAGCTGGTGGCTCTTCACGCTCATCGTGTGTTCGTCGTACACTGCCAACCTGGCGGCGTACCTCACCGTGTCACGCATGGACCACGCTATACGGTACGTTCTCACACACACCCGTGTCTGTATGCCTGAGCTCACCCCGACATTCACAGTTTACTGTGCGGCAGCTGCAGCAACGAGGGATGTAAACAAAGACAAATTAATTATTCAGACTCCAGCAGCATCTGAATGTTCAGCAGTAATATTTCACACTTTTCCCCAGACTTCACTTCTTGTCGGAGTCGTTGCTCAGTCACATTACGACTCTAACAGTGTTGGACGCCGGGTTTAGAGATGATGTAAAAACGCTCTCCTTTAGAAATTCTGATCTTTGTTCAGACGGACTCTGGTGTCACAGTAATCCACCGGGTTTGAGACTGTGGTGGGTCGACATCGATCATAAACACACTGCATAGATATAAATGGTGATGAAACAGCAACAAAGGTCAGCTGATTTATTTAATAATTTATTATAATTTAAGCAACCCTAAATCAAAGAAAAATGTATTTATAATTAAGTAATTTCCCAAACATTTTATTTTACTTTAAATGGACACAAATATAAATATAATTAAATTAATCTTATTTCCATACATGTTGTGTTAACACCTTCTTTTGAAAACCGGACGTCATCACATGTGCATCCTCATCGTCACCAGCTCCGACACAATTTGATAAATTATATTCTACGTTGTGCTCATATTACGTAAAATTAAGATTTAATAGCCTCTCTTCTGGTAGGACTCTCATACTGCAACACAAAGTGAGAACATGACAGGATAAAGTCGCTAACCTGCTCGCTCGGCTCCTTTTAACTGCATCTACCATAAAGGCTCTAATACGTGTGCACTCCAAATTTAGCGGCTAGCATGATCGCGTTCTCACAAACGAGTGACAGTTAACGTTACCGTAATTACCTCAAAAGAAAAGTGGTTGTCTCGAGTGTGTGAGCCCACGAGTTTACAGCAGCGGCGCTGTAATGTCTTTAATGTTAATATATTTTCAGTTCATTTTGAAACTACGGCAGAACAAATTAGACTGTTGCGCGCCACCATGGTCTCGTTAATTAATTAACTGCAGACATTGAGCGACCAGGTGTGTTGGGCTGGATGACTCATGTTCTGTTGCTGTTTTTCCTGATATTGAAGCCTGGCTCGTTGAGCGGCGTAACAAGTTAGGGAATGTCTCAAAGGTGTTTGCAGAATGGACACGGGTCCTTTTTCAGATTTTGGGTGTCCTCTCTTTAGAAGTGCAAAGAAACCGCCCAGTGCAAGTCTGCCTTATATGTTGTGCCATCTTTTTATACTTTGTGGGGAGCGTACATATCATACATAAATCGAAGCTACAGCTACTTTAAATCTTAAAATTGGACCTGAAAGTGTTTAATTCACTGGAATTTAAATTTATCACTGATTTTATTTGTTAAAATCTAACTTTTATTACCAATATTAAAGTCAGAATAATTTTGTGATATATTTTTATGAAAATCTGAATATTTTGTTATTATTATTTTGTTTTTTTGGATACCTCAGTTTCAGATTTTTTTATTAAATCTGAATGATGTGTTTTCATCTAACATCTCAGAATCTGGAGGGTTTTTTTGTAGCGTTCTCAAAGAAGGGCAAACTAACTTTTAAAATAATAATCATCTCAGCTGTGTGAGATCTGAAACATGAGCTTGGTTTGTTGACAGAGGCAGAAAGTCTTGTCACATGACTCCTGAAAGACACAAACCAGCTCTGGCGTGACGGATAACACACACAGCTCGGCCTGTCGGGGCTGTACGGCAGCAGCTTTGTTGGGATCAGTCGATAATCAGTCAGCTGCTCCCGGGAGTCGTTCTCTGCAGCTCAGTCTTCATCAGCCGGACTGAAGTTCATTCAGTCGTTATGATCCGAGGTCACAGTCAGGCCGAAAGCAGAGGAAAGTTTATGGTGTCGAGGGTTTTAGAGACTTCTCCCTGTGTGTGGAGCTGCTCCACCAGCATGAGCTGATATTTGTTATGACTTGTGAAAGCTTACGTGCGTCCTTGAAAGAACATTTTGACATCTCTGAAATGCTTGTGTGACCACAGGGTAACAGGATACAACACGTTAATTGTCTCATCAAACTGTGTTTTCGACACACACAAGCTCAACCAGCTGACGGCGGCAGTCTGCCTCCATGTTTGTTTCTGTCTGAAGTCACGTTTGATCACGCGTGATTCTGTGAGATCCCAAGTCCAAGGAACCGCCGCTCTGACACCGTTTAATATAAACGCAGAGAGTGCGGTCCTGCGTCTGGACTGAAGCGTCTGGTGTGAGCGTCCGTGAGATTAAAATATAAAAACTCTTTTCATTCTGTTGGTATGTCACGTTTTTAAAATCCTCTCGTGTGCGCGACACATTAGCTCCCTCCCAGTCAGATGACGCAAGCCAACATGGCCGCCACCCTGCAGCAGCATCGTGTTAATTGCTCATTTAACCTCAAATGTTTCTTACACATTTGGCCGAATATGAATCTTAAGGAGGCACCTGCAAATCACGTGTCATTGAACAAACCTGGGAGTGGATGGTGTGAAAGCAGCAGACGTTCAGCTGGTTTTACATTTAGAGGGGTGACAGTGTGAGTAACAAAATCCCTCAGCTTGAATATTTCTCCATAAAGAAATGACACCAGAGCTTCTGAGTTCAAGTGTTTAATGCATCTGAACATGGAGGTCAAACATTTAACCCACGTGTTGTTCCTGAAGAACAGCCTGACCTTAAACCTTGTTCTGTGGGAGGCGCTGGTGTTCTGGATGCTGAGAGTGCGTTCGAAAGTTCAAACTCGATCTGCACGTCATGTACAGCACTGCTGGTGTAAGTATTGAGATAATAATGCCACAGTGTCAAAAAATATATTCGACTACAAGTAAAAGTCCTGGATTCAAAACCTTATTTAAGTAAAAGTATGTAGGTAATATCTGCTAAATGTACGTAAAGTAAAAGTAGTCATAGTGCAGAAGAAATGTTCTTCAGTGTTTCTCTATAATATCTGATGTTTCTGGATTAATATTGCTGCTGCTGCTTTATATCCTGTTGGGTAGTTTAATCTGCAGCAATGCATCATGGTCTATAAAATCATCATCGGTTTGTTAGCAGAAAAGCAGCTGTAAGAAAGTATAAAGTTGCATTAGATGGAAGTAGCTTGAATATCTAAACTGTAAACCTCTCCCCCGGTCGCTGCTAACGGCTGTCCACAGCGTAGCTACTCTGGTTAGCAACGAGCCAGACAGCGGCTCCAGATACGTTGATGTTTCTATGTGCAGAAGAAACCAGGAGACATGCTGCATACACACCTGTCTAAATCAGAAACCGGCTGGAGCGTTCATCCGGACTCACGATTCAGTCTTTCTGCACAAACTTCTTCTTAAAATTCCTTAAAATTTCCTCCGGCAAAGGTCCAGAACCACAACGACTAACTTGAGTTTTTATTCAGTGCCACAGCCGAGTATGTCTGGAGTCAACAACCAACAATTCAATAATATTTTTAAACAATATTTAGTGTCGGTTCTCACATTGAACAGGAGGGATTTTAAATAATATGTACTTTAATTGACCCTTCGCTTAGCCACGCCCCTTTAGTTACTGTTGCTAAGCCTGACAAACTGTTAGACTGTCTATTGCTGCACTCCCCGGAGAAATACTGACAAATTAGTTGGAAAAAATGATCTCAGAAAGAAGCAGACAGTTTTGCGGTTGCATTATACAGTTGAAGGTTGTATTCAGGCTGTCAGGCCGACTCGGATGGACTCTGGTAGCTGCTGTAACTGTTACAAGATGCCGCTGGAACAGCGTTTGACCAGATCTTAGAAAAATTCAGCCAGAAAAAGCTGGAAAACGACTCTTTCTGCATCAGAGTCAATAGAAGTCATGAAAGTGTCGGACCTCAGTTAGAGCGAGTCCTATGCTGCGCTGTGATTGGCCAGCTGTGTATTCGGGGCGTGGCTTAGCAAAGGGTCAATTAATTAAAATAAAGGCTGCATTTAAAAATAAAATACTCAAAATAAAATGCTTCATTTTAGAAAAATGACATCTTAAATGTCAACCAACTTTATAATAAACAATCTCAACACATCTTAACGATTGAACAGCTTTAACTGAACACTGTCTCTTGTTCCCAGTGGGAAGAATGAGCTCTAGCTTGTCCTGCCACAGACGGTCTCAAATGTTCTGAGACCGTCTGTCCATTCTTGATGAGACGCTCTGTTTTTCTCAAATCAATTGACAAAAAATGAAGGGCTGCACAAAGTCAGGTAAATATTTGGAGACAGGTGTATCTTACTTACCTGTTTTTGAAACGCACAAAGCGGCAGAAGCGCTGCTGCATTGTTTGTTCGCTTCCCGTTGTTCTTAAATGTCCTCCTCTGAGGTTATCTGGATGCACGTGGCTCTGTTTGTACTGCATCGGATGTCTGCACAGCTTGCATACGTTTCAGGCTGCACATGGATGTCTGCGTGGTCCTCAAACACAACAGTGGAATTAAAAAAACAAACCATAAAAAGCAAACCTGCCAGTTGTTAGTTCGCTCTTGTGTTTTGGTATAGGTATTAAGTATATAAATATATAATATATGCGAGTATTTAAGGTCTTTGTCTTCGGTTAGGAGAATAAACTGTTACCACGGTGGTGTCCTGAACACAACACGGTTCACTGACGTCACAAGACGTATCCTTCTGATTGGTGTTTGTTCAGAAAGTACAAAACATCATCGCACAGCAAGCTGCTAAACTGAAGTAACAAAAATACCTTTTGAGTGTTTGTTTCCCTCCCCGAGCTTTGGTTCACTGTAACCTCGTGAACCTCGGACCTGAATCAGCTCAGATGGACTGTAATTGAATGTTCCAGGCGCACACGGCGAAACACAGACTTCCAGCTATAATTTGTGCCTTAATAACAAACACACCGCCAGTGAAGTCTTCAGAGAGGAAAAAAACATCATTTCACGAAGTAACAACCTGAAAAACAAGAAAGGTTTGTCAACGTTTTTGATAAAACGTGGATATATTTATAATTCGCCTGTTTCTGTCTGCTGG